TTCTGGGAAAGTGAAATTGTCTTGTTGCCAAGTGCAGCGATGTCTTTGCAGACAACATGTGGACAACTTTGCTGCTTATTTTACAAAGCCAGTGAACCAGTCTACATTTCTACACATGTTTAAGTCATGCTAAACACACTTCAGTACAAGCTAGATATGTTTATAGCTATGTGGTTCTTTCTAGTAATCCATCTACTTGTAGTTGTTTTGTACTTATCTTGTGTTACTTCAGAATGTCATAGAGCTGAACGCAGCTGCCAATATGGGGATGAAGTGGGCAAAGGATAAGTCTGGGCTGGAAAAGTAGAGGCAAGTCATAACCTTACGGAAGAAATACGTTGAAATTAAGTACTTCCATTTTTTGAAGTCACGGGAAGATTGTGACGTCTTCGTTAGAGCCACACAGTCCCATTCAAAATGATCCATCATCACACCTGCTGATACCTAGACCTCTTCACTAGGAAACAGTCCTCCAGTTTTTCATGAAGAAACAGCTACCTAATAGAGATCTACTGCTCCAGACATGTCTGAGGAGTGAATAGAATGAAACGAATGAGCTGCAGTCTGCCTTTGTTGGCAATATTTCATTTTTCTAGAGGCAAAGCAAAATTCTAGACCCAGTCTCCACACAGATTTCCTTCAGGCTAAGAATTCTATTTCAGGGCTCTTTACAACCTATTGAATCAAAGTGACATATTAAGGCTTTTTTTTAAATAGAAGAATTAAGATCCAAACACTTAGGACTAGCTGGCTGGTCTCCTGTGTGAGCAACTCCCTGTTGGAAGGGACCTGGAATTCCAGTCCGCTGGAGACTCCTGCCAAAGCTCAGCAAAAATGCTCAAATAATTTTCTGTATGCAACTGAGGTACTTCAGTGGGTGTTCTGTCTACTGGCCTTGGATAAAGTGGCAGCATTTTTTTCCCCACTAAAAAAAAAAAAAGAGTTTAGAACATACTGCGAGAATTATTTTGCGCTATTGTGCTGTGCCTTTACTAGATTATCTGTTTCTAGAGGTTATCAGAGTTGCAAAAGACAAGTTCCTGGCAGTAGCCCAGGCTTTCTGGTAAGCAGCCCAAGGTGCAGCATAGTACTTTCTGCTACTGCTTTTAAAACAGCAAAGTTTGTGTTTATTTGACAGCAAGTTCAGTGTCCTTGTAAATACAGCTCATTGGAATTCTTTGTTTTAGGGCAGAGAGCAGAAAAACATGACACAGGAATAAAATAGGGCAGCTTTCCCTGAAGGTTCACTTGTTTGCAAAGGAGAAATTTGCCAGATGAGATTTTGTGCTGCTGTCTCTGACCTCGAGGTCCCTCTTAAATAATAAACAAATAAGAGGTGGGATTGTTCGGTCCTGAAGTAAAACAGGCTTGCTTTGCCGTAGTGTAGTGGAAGCCACATATCTTAGTTTTAACACCAGCCAGTTTTAACCCCCCTGCCCCAAGATACGAAAAATAGCCTCCCTCCTCCAATTTCTAAATATTTGGCAATTGGATCAGTCGCTGAACAGAAGTATTGAGGGGTGGGCTAAACTTGCTTTGGACTGAAATGCAAATTGTAGCTTCTAAATTCAAATGTTTGTTTCTTGTGTGGAACAGTTTGTGCTTCACGTATAAAGCACTCAAAAATCTAGCTCTTGGTTATCTTGCTTTCCTGCTCAGCTGGGAGGTGGTTAAGCCTGACAGGTCTCCCTCCCCACATCCATTTCCAGGACAGTCCAGGGGTTTGGGTCATCACATAGGACAGCAAGCCTCCGGCTTCAGTTTCCCTCTCTGCATGAGAGTATTCTCAAACCACAACTGAAGCGTGAAACCCAGGAAAGTCAAAAGAAATTTTTCCACTTTACTCAGCCAGATGCTGGCTAGTTCCAGCTGAGGCTAATAGCTCCTTTGCTTGACAGTGTATTTCCAGCATCAGAAGGAGCATTGGAATGGCTGAGCAATCCTGCCTGGTTTCAAAGGGACAGTGCTGAGAGGCAGGAATCCAAATACTCAGATTGCATCATTCCTTTGAAGTCACTCCTTCTTTAACTTCAGTTGTAGTAATGATTTATATCAGCTGATCTTTAGAGCCAAGAATAGAACTGTTTTGACATGACCTTGGACATGCACATTGGATCACCTAGCTGGCTTTCGGATGATTCACTTCATAAACAGTCACGTTATTTCCCTCAGGTTTTACGTTGTTACCTGCTCGATGGGCTGTTAGAAGCTGTAATGTTCAAGAGAGACCATAGGAAGTAGATGCTAATTTTTGATACTTGAATTAAATTTTGAGTTAGGCTTTCTCGGAAGATCTCACAGCGTGAGCTTTGTAAGTTTTAGGTGTTATGCAAATGACAGCTATTACTGTTCTCTCTCAGCACATCAGATCCTGATTTGCTGTTTGGATTATCTAATCACTGTCAGCCCAAGTGTTTGGAGTGGAAGTAATTACAGCAGTACTTTCAACTAATTCCTATTCATGGAGTCGTAGTGAAAATGTTGATTTGAGGGATAAGTGAGCTAAGTATTCATGACGGGATAGGCACCTAAGAGCATTCAGGGCTGGTTCTTGTTGCTACTGTCAAAACAGCTGTAACAACGTAAACAGTTCACGTGCCGACTTCAACTTGAAGAAATACTGACAAGTCTCGGACATGTACTAGATCATGATGGCATCAAAGACTTAATTACTTGCTCCGTATTGTAGTTCATAACAGGGTCTATGATTAGCTCTCTCTCTTGGGCACCACATCATCTCTTCTGCGTGTTGACTGTGTTGAAGGGCTTTCAGCGCTCCTAGGCAGATGCTGCCAAATTGGTTATTCATAGAATCATAGAACGGTTTGGGATGGAAGGACCTTTAAAGGTCATCTAGTCCACCCCCCTTTTTTTATTGCTTTATTGCTAGAGGTTTAGAGTATCATGTAGTTTATGTTCAGTTAAGATGGTGCTGGATGTTCACCTGTGAGATGTACGTGTCATGGGAGCACAGAAATGTGACTGTGATAATAGTACCCATTGTTGATCACTCCATTGTCTCATTTTTGAAGGCTCTAAGCAGGTTTCAAATGAGAGGATGTATCTTCTTTTTTAAATTTGTTTATGTAAGCTCAGCAGAGAGGAGTTAACCATCAGATCACTAACGTTAATGGGATTCCGAACTGTATATTCAGGCAAAAAAAAAGTTCATCGTCTCTAATCAAAACAAAATACTTTATTCTACTTTAACCTACTGCTGCAGTAGAATTTTTCTGCCTAGAGGCTCCCTAAGAGGAGAGAGCTGACTGGCTCCTATAGAAGGAGGAGGAAGCTCAGGGGAGGGACCTTCCTGACCTGACTTTCCTCCAGTTTGCTCAAGTTAGCATCATGAATACCATTTGTTCTTCATAGGTGTAGTTACTTGGGTCGCGATGATGTTGTCCTGAGGCACTGGCATAATGTATTCCAACCCTGGGACCCTTTTGTTAGAGAGTTGTTGTAATACGGGAGTGGAACCAAAACTCAAAGACCAATATTTATATTGAAGGCTGATTTGGCTGTTGCATCCTTGGAGGTACTTACATGTAACAGTTTGGTGTTTCATCCCCCCGCCTCCAGCTGTGCCCCAATTCTGATCTAAATCTAAGAATTAGTCTTGGATTAGTTATTGTTGAACTGCAGTAATAAATTCCAGTAGCACCAACTTATAGCCATCTACCATGCTTGACTGGAGTTGATTGTTAATAGTGCTTATGCTTCTAGTGGCATTTGGAAGGGCGATAACCATCCTGGATCTGTGCCCAGCTGGAGACAGAGCAAAACTTTATTTGCTTATTTGTATTAGAATGGTACTTTCCTGTTCTGCCCCTAATTCTGTGTGCTGCTGAGCTTGCTGTTGCAGCTGCAGCTTGGAGAGGCTTGCTGACCCAGAGAGGTGCTTCTGAGTGCAAATGGTCTGAGTAGAACATCATCATGTTGTAGTTGTCCTCGTGTGGGTTGTGTAATGGCAAAGGCATTACTGAAGGATTCTGTTCTCTTCTATGGACTTCTAATTGCTAAAGTTAAAACTATTGGTTTTTGAAAAGCAAAAGGGCTGAATACTCAAACTTTTGACAATCTCTTTTGGGTGTGGTTTTGGAGAGTTTTTCTTGTCAAGTGGGATGAGGTTATCTGGGCCCAGCAAACAAGATTCTCAGAAGGCAAGTGTAGAAAGTCTCATCCAGTAGAAGTGGGTGCATATCTGAATTGCTTTTTTGGTGGTAAGCTCTCATTTTGGTCAGTGTCTAGTAATTATTGAACAATTCAATTCAAACCCTTGCATTAAACAGAACAGGTTGAGTGGCCAATAAGCTGGAAAATTGGAAGAAAATCTTAATAGGTTCAGCTGGTGCCTGGCATCAGAGCTGCCTGTCCATATGCTAAATGCTTCTGCAGCCAAGTGGGCCAGGAGTATGAGTGCCCACATGCGAGGCAGAATAATAAGGCTGGGGGGAATAACAAGGTTCCCTGAACATCTTTGTAGAAGCAGTTAAAAGCCGGTGAAAGAAGCACAGCTAGTCAACCAACAGTCCTTTTTGGACACAGAAATAAAGTTATAGATACTTTTCATGGGCATAATTGGTTTGTGCTGAATACATTGGTTAGAAACCCATCAGAGGGTCAAAGGATGGAGTCGCCTTGTCTGCTGGTTACCTGTTGGGTGCTGGCCTAGCTGGGGGCAGTGAGATGTTTTGCTGGGTCTCCATCGCTTATTTGCACTGTGTCGGAGTTCTGTGAGAGCTGTGAACTACTTGATAATGGCTGATCTGACTTTCTTCTTTGAAATCACACTAATTTTAGTGGTGGTTTTGTTTTATTTCTAACTCACCAGGTGATTAAAAGTAGGCTGTGAACAGTTGGCAAGGCTTATAATTCTTTCCTTCTACACAGCCAGGATCTTAGCTAATCTATGGTTTTGAATGTAAAAGGATGGTAGAAAGTGCACCACCATTAAAGAATAGGTGGGAAGATTGCAAGAAATGGTGGCAGAAGTCTGAGAGATGAAGTGGCTTAATGCTGTAGATGGAAAGGTAGGTTTGAACCACTCTGCACAGGCAGGATCTGCCCCAGGTGACTTGAATTTAAATTCAACTGGACCTTGAAAGCAAAATGTCAGTCGTCAGAATGGTCCTGGGTTCTACAGTTAAATGATCGTTTTCATTACCTGGTAATTCAGTTCCTTCTCCCTTATGTATCCTCATTCACCCTTATACATAGAACACATGCTTACAGTTTTATCTCTCATACTTGTGTGATGGAAGATCCATTCCCACCTGTCTGCTCAAGCTTGCTTTATGTCTATCTTAAGCATGCAAGACTAGAACCAGTAACAAATCTACATGGAAAAGTGTGTCACTTTATTTTTGAAAAGCTGTTTCCTAGAAAGTCCTGCATTTGCAAGCATAATTTCAGCTCTTTCTTCCTAGCACCTTTCATGCAAGCATGCACTGTCTTCATAAGAATTTCTGATTGTATCATAATTCAGAAGAAATAGGATGTAACTATCTGTTAGCTTGATTTTATGTTTTGTCTAAGCTACCGAGAGTCATTAATTGTAGCTCCAGAGCAACAGCTGATTTATGTGTTTAACTTCTCTGCAAATATTAGTGATATTCAAGTCATTGGGGATGCCAAGTTTACTCTCTTGTGTTTCTAGATTTACCAGAGATGCTGGTTAGTATTCAAAAAGGCTTCAAGCAAAGGGCCAAAGAGGCTGGAGAAATTCTCAGATGAACGAGCTGCTTACTTTAGATGCTATCACAAGGTAAGACTTGGTAATATGGTCGTTTCTCAAACTTTTTTTTTTTTATGTACAATAAAGAATAAAACCTGAAGTTGCCATGTATTAATTGGCCTGAAAATTGGAACTTTTAAACTTTTTTTTTTACTATCAAGGTCCTAAACCCACTTGTACGTTCCTTCATTCACTGAAGTAGAGGCAAAGTAAGTGTTCTATTTTCTGCTTTGTAGCAAACATCTTGCTAAGCTAATGGAAAATTACTTTATTTTTAGAGAAGATGTCTCTTTCTTTCCTCAACTCTTTAAAATCAGATCTGAAATACTTTGCAATGGCTACTGCTCTTCATAATTACAGTAACAACCACCCAAGTTAACATGGGAATTCAAAAATCTGGGTACTTAGAGGTTCCCATTTTACTAGGATCTTGCATCTGTGGGAAGACAGTAGACAGCTACAGAAATGAAGGGCAATGTGCAAATTTTTCATGCAAGGGTGATGTGAAAACCTTTGCTAAATTCACTGGTATTAAAAAAAAATGAAGTTTTTCCCCTCTAATCACTTCTCTGGAGTTATGTCCACATTTCATATTCATCTGAGGATTTACATGTGTAATTCTCCTGGGCATGGAGATGAAAATAAGAAACTCTTTAATTTATAATCATTGTTGGCAAAAGCTTAATATATTAGAAGATTGGGAATTATGTACATAAATTCCTAGGAGTTGGCGAGCACAGCTCAGCTTGAGGGTGATCTGCATTTACTCACTTTGACACACATTTAGAAGGAAATCTTGAGGGAACACTGAATCTGAATTCTGACTTGTCTGTCTACACGCCACCTAAGTTGTAATTGATTGGTCATAAAACCTGTGGCTATTTGTAATAAGTCATCCCAGAAATAGTTCCTTCAAATTTATATTAAGGGACTTCCAAAAGTAATAAGAAGTGCTTTTTTTTTTTTTTAATCTGATGTGTGTGAGGGTTGCACAGTGTGTATAAGACAATTTCCAGCTTGTGTGAAATGTTGCATTTATATTATTATGGCTCTGTCAATTATTGATGCAAATCTGTGTTTCTTCCATTGTATTAATGCAATATATCAGCAGCACATGCTGACTTGAAGTTCAGATTAGGTAATAGATATGAATTCCATGAGGAATCTAAATAAGGCTGGATTTTTTTCCTCTTCTTTCAAGCAAATCTGTAGGTTAGCACTTATTTGTTGTGTATGAAACCTAACAGCAGTTGACTACATCTGGATCTGCAGACTAAAGTCGCCCTATCTCTGAGGCATGTTCGGCTTTAAGTCAAGTTTAGTTTATTGTTAACAGTTACTTAATATTAAACTGTTGCTTCTTCCATAAATTTAGTATTTGGATTTCTCTGGTAGCTTATTTGACAGGCATAAATGATGGTCAAACTCCACAATCAGTCACTTTTGGAGGAGTAAAACCTGAATGCAGGTACTTGAATGTAGTGTGCACTCCTGACAGCACTGGCTCCAGCTGGAGTGATAGATTATATCCTAAGTCTCCTTTTCAGGAATTGGAGGGTGGTGTCTTGGGGTCTGTGTCTTACGCTGAGTACACCTGAAATAGTTGGTCTGAGCTTCTATGTTCTTATGGTGTCTTGGAGCTGCTGAGCCGTAGAGCCAGCTCCCATGCCCTGAGCCCTTCTCCTAAGCTTCCGTCTGCTTCAGGTCCCAGGTATGTAGACCCAAATTATGCGATGCATTGCTGAGACTTCTGCCAGAAAGCCTGTAGTCCTCCTGTATAAAATGGAGAGATCTCTCTTCCTGGCATCACGTCAACCTGGATGCTGTGGCCGAGCTTGCTGAGAGCCATGGGGGTGCAGATGGGCTGGAGGACCAGGCAGTGATCTCACTGCCGTTTGTGGGAGCTACCCTGGGAACGTTGTCGTCAGTATTTTTTCTCCACGTTTGCTATCCTGGGAACGTTGCCGTCAGCACTTTTTCTCCACATTTATCACTCCCCTTTGCCACTCTAATGATGCAGTGCTAACTAAGTAGAGCAGTCTAAGTGTGATTGCCCAGGACAGTACGTTGTCACTTACGTGGTGTTGCTATTTGGCAGTGGGGCTCTGCCGTGTCCCCGTTTTTTCACTGTGGTGGTAAATGAGGCTGTCTTCTAATTCTAGAGCCATTGGCTATACAAGTTGACAGGTCCTGTTTACTGTTAATGAACCTCACTGAAAGGAAGCTAATGAATATTAAATGACATTTCCTGCTAAAATGTGTTAACGTACAAAGAGCACAGGTGGATAAAAATGAGTTTCTTTTTCAAACAAGCTTTGTGAATGTGTGAGATTCTAAAGTGGTGAATGCAGCTTCTAACATTAATAAATATGAGGTGATGGAAAAGGCGAACGTCACTGTACTGCCCTATATATAGTTGAACTGATTCTTATAAAAAGCATAGTTAATTATTAATAAAAAAATACAACAAACAATATTGCAGTCTTCAACGAACACTACCTGTCACTTGGTTTTGATGTATAATATTAAGGGGACTTTGGTACTCAAGGCATCATCCAGCAGTCTAGGATAGCCATTGCTGTTGTCTCGAGGTACATTTGGTCAGCAAGAGCCGCTGTTGTGATAACAGCTTGATGGCACGCAGATGCTTTTCTGTGCCTATTCTAATTCTGTCGCTCCTGGACAGAAGGCTGCTTCTCGCTGCCTCTGACAATAAAGTTAATCCTGCAAGTGAGAAGCCCAGCCAGCCCTGTTAACATGTCAAGTGTCACTGTGTCGTAAGCTTGTGCTAATGAATCTCAGGACGAATGCGGTTCAGTCTGATGGTAGAGGAAAACCTCACTTACAGATTACCAGTGTTTCAGAAATGTGGTTATTCACTTCCTACCTGGGTTCTGAAGTGTTTCTCAAATGCTGTTGAAAGCAGCATCAAATCTAGAAAATTGAGGAGCCCCCACTCACCTCATCAATCTCGGGGAAGGTTTAATCCATCATAAAACTGTAAAGGGTAGAGAAAGAAAAATGATGAATGGAGCTAATTTTTCAATAGCACCTGCCTCCTTCACTGAAGTGTTAAATTGTTTCGTTTTGCTGCTTTTTTTTCTGTGATGAATTAAAGTGCAAATAATTCTTCAATTTATTAGCGGAAAGAGTCTCTCCAGAGCATTTGTTCTGTTGGTACCATGGTGGCACCAGTCACTGAAGCTGAGTTGCTGTGGACTGAGACCATCAACATCTCTCCCTCCTATGAGGAAAGGCTGAGGGAGCTGGGTTTGTTCAGCCTGGAGAAGAGAAGACTGAGAGGGGATCTCATCAACACATACAAATATCTTAAGGGTGGAAGTCATGAGGATAGAGCCAGACTCTTCTCAGTGGTGCCCGGTGAGAGGACAAGGGGCAATGGGCACACACTGAAGCATAAGAGCTTTCAGTTGAACGTGAGGAAGAACTTCTTTCCTTTGAGGGTGATGGAGCACTGGAACAGGCTGCCCAAGGGGGTTGTGGAGTCGTCGTCTTTGGAGATATTCAAACCGTCCTGGGACAGTGTCCTGTGCAACCTGCTCTGGGTGAGCCTGCTTGAGCAGGCGTTGGACTGGATGATCTCCAAAGGTCCCTTCCAACCCCTGCTCTTCTGGGATTCTGTGAACATCTTCTTGGTACCTTTACCCAGTCAAGGTCTCTCCTTTATCAGTTGGAAGTCTGGGCCACAAGCAGTGTTTCCGAAGTGTCTCAGTGGCATTTCTGTCATATTGGGGGGTTCAGTTTGTTCCCATTTGAATGCCTGATGTATCTGTCCTCTTCTGCAGCCCTGCACCAGGTCCTTGCCACTCAAGGTTTAAAACAACAAAAGAAATAAGTACTTTTTTGTTTATATATATATAATACTGACCTTTAAATACTTTCTAATCTTGTTCTATTTTTTTTTTAAACATGGAAAGGTCAAAGTGTCCTAAAAACACAGGTCATCTGAGAACAGTCATCTGTAGCTTATGAAGTGAACTGGCAATATACACACAAACTGCCCACTTAATTCATTTGGTCCCACAAGGGAGAGAAAATAACTGGGATCCAGGCTACAGCATCTACGCAGAGTTGCCTTTCAGGTAGCTGTCTAGTTTTCACTTGGTAAATGTAGATAATCAACCACAATTTACCATATGCTTTAACAAAATAATATTGGAGGAAGGAAGAAATTATTATTTCTCCAAGTGACTTTTGACTTTGCAGTATGCCAGAAGAATCCTTAATATTCCAATGCAAACCCAACTAATTGCATACTGCTGACAGGAATGTACTGATTCCTCGAGGGGATTTAAGTTTTAATCCGATTGTATTAATCTTGCCTTGAAACAGCAGAAGTAATTTAAACAGTCTTTCTGTCTAGTTATGGAATAATCCATTTGGAAAATTGAATTGTGTAATTTGTAATTGTTTTCCAGGCTTGCTAATGCAAAACTGTATCAGTAGCAAATTAAATGTTTAAAGTATGACCACTCTGCTAATAACTGGCTGTTAAACATTTATTTTAATGAATACTATCACTTACTATGAATGAAATGTCTAGTTTGAGGCTTAAAAAGAATTAAAGTAACGTGTCAGGATATTTTGGTACCTTCACTATAATGCCGTGTCGCTGCCAGTCTGTGGGGCAGGTGTGTCTCCTTCCGTATGGAAGGATGTATTTCGTGCATGACTCTTCTGATCCTGTGAGCGAAGGAGCAGCCTCTGAGAGTGATGGTAAAAGCCAGATCTCTAAATCTGATAGTTGTTCCTGGCTTTAATTTCTTGGAATAAGCCGGTGTTGGACTACAGCAGGGTTATGGCCAGTGCATGCAATTCTGTAGGCGAGCAAGTGAAAACTAGCAGCTGATGAATTTTCCCACTGAAGAAAGGGAGATAGGGGCATGGCCATAGATTTTATTAGTATTTATTTATATTTTTTAATAAATATTAAAAAAACTATGTAACATCTCAGTATGTTATGTATACTTAGTAAGTTAGATACATACAGGCAAACCTTATAAGCAGGA